AAAACCCCCACCGTCTATAAGTTCTGCTGTCAACGCGAAAACACTTTTTTTCGGTGGGGTCACCGGAAATGACGTCGCAATGGCTGAGTTTAAAATATTTTTCAACSAAAAWKTCAGAAAATGTTCTTTAAATATGTATCTTAAATGCTATAAAAAGTTTAAATAAGAATTCAATTTTTTATATAGAAAAAAAAATTGTTGAAAATATGCTATTTTTTCCCGGTGTAAACACATGTAACCCCTTAAGACTATTTTCATTTAATTTGTTATATACAGGGTGTTCCTAAGGTTTGGACATATTGGAAATCTAATTAACAATTATTCAAATTGAATAAAAACATTCGTTTAACCGAAAACTCTGTGCGTTGAACTGTGCTGTTCAACGATAAAACTTTGTGAATGGTTAGGTTACACAAGAAATTATCTTGTGGTATGTTTTATGGAAAGTTCATGTGTCGGAATCATTCATTTTCGATGAACATATAACCGGTGAGGCTTATCTTGTCATACTGAGAGAATTATTAGTACACCAACTTGAAAGTTTAGGTTAAGGACTTCCTGAATGGATTCAACAAGATGGCACACCTGCGAATTTCATCACGCTAGTAAGAGATTAACTGAATGACAATTTCCTTAATTGAATTGAAAAACGTGGTTATGTAAAGTGAATCTCTTTGTTCACTCGACCTTAACCTCCTTGACTTCTTTTTCTGAGGTATACTGAAGTAGTAGGTGTACTCAATGAAAATCACATATTCCTGACCGCGTTGGATTCAATAAAAACCTTTCACCACTACCTGTATGGAGTCAAGAAATAATCTGAAAATGGATCACGCTTCTGTGCAATAGTTCGTCTCATTCAAAGTAATTGGATAGTTAGTTGAGACTCTATGATTCGAACGTTTGCACAGATACGATTTCGAGATTCTTCATAGGAAAGAAAAAACTGTTCAGTTGAAAACGAGCTGTTCAGACGAAAACTGAAGTGTTTAGTTCAAAAAACCGAATGCTTCTTGTAAGATCGAAAAACTTCGTAGACTGCTCCTAGCGCGTTTTCGAAATGCAACTCAAACTTTTTATTTATAACCTGTTAGTATTCAATTTATTTAAAAAATGCCAATGCTTTGATTATGAAAGTGGTGTAAGTCCAATTTCCATAGAAAATAAAGAAAAAAAGAGATAATAATTTCTCGAATACGCCACAGGATTATTATGATATTATTAAACACAATGTTAACAACATAATAAATTAATTTTACATGAAATGAAAACAAAAATCAGGTAACAAAAAACACTAATAAAAAAAAGGTAAATTGCTTGCAAATATGTTGGATGAGGTTTTGCAAAAGTGCATCATATCCTTTTTTTTTATATAAAATGTCGATCGAGGATACGTCAAATTACATATCGAATAATTAATAAAAACACTACCAGACTTTAAATAATTAATGAATATTTTTTAATTGACCAATATGCAAACTTTTTTAATTTTTTTTAAACAATAGAAAATGGACTTGCACTACTTTCAAAATAAACGCTCCATATTCCGTCCATCTTTATATATTCTACTTTTTATTAATTTATTTAGTATATTATTTATGTTATTTTTATAATCATTAATCTTTTAACAAAAATTTAATGTTTTATTTTATATTATTTTATTTAATACTATTCATGTTATTTATAATCATTAATTTTTTAAATTAATGTTTTATTTTATATTATTTTACAGAAATTTATCTAAGTTTTGTGAATAATAATTTTATAAATAAGGGATTTCAGCACGCAATTAAATAAATATT